CAAAATCGCTTTTTTACCTGAGGGATTGTTTGACAACTTGGTTAACCTGAAATGGCTGTGAGTGAACACGAGTTTGTCTAGCTTACTCTGCTGGTTTGTTAGTGCCAGCTTTGTTTTGTGCTAAAACTGTGAATAATTTGAAAGATTAACAATTCAATTGATAAGGAAATTGATATTCTGATGCGCTTATGTTGATCAATTCCTTTTTTCCAGCCATTTGGAGTCAAACTTTATAATTAGTGATAATTGATCCATTTGCTAACGCCAATTTTCGCTTTTTGTTTTATTTAAAGCGCTAGAAGCGATTTTCTCTACGTTTTCTTATCTTATCCACTAAAAATGCAAGGAAAACATGATGGAGTGTTTCTTGAGGGACTGGTTGCTATTTGCAGTGTGTTATGACTCAACAAAAACATAAGAAGATGCAATATAGAAATCGAACGGTGATCGAGAAATTAAGTGTAAGCGCCAAAGGTATTGCGACCGTCCTCCAGAAATATAGCCTGTAGCAGTATTTACAAAGAACTGCTGCACTTTAACGAGCTCGGGGACTCCCCTTTTTTAATTCAAAAATTAAATTTGTCATAAAATACAAAATACCAGTAGGTAGGGTTTAACAAAAATACTTGTCAAGGTACTTTTTTAGAGGACTAACCAACATTAAAAAATTAACTCAAAGCAAATTTGAATAGATTAACTAGTTAATTAAAAAGCCTACTTTGATACTTAAGTGGATGTTTTGACAGGAAAGTGCAGAATAACTAACCTTAAAAAATTGACTCAAAGCAAATTGGAATAGATTAAGTAATTAAAAGCCCACTTTGATAAGTCGATGTTTTTACAGGCGACTGCAGAATAACAATATCACCTTTTTACCTGAGGGATTGTTTGACAACTTGGTGAACTCGAAAGGGCTGTGAGTGAACACGAGTTTGTCTCGCTTACTCTGCTGGTTTAATAATGTTCGCTTTGTTTTAAGTTGACTTTATTGGATTAAAAAATTACTGGGAGAAGCAGTAGTTCTCATTGTGGTCCTCTAAAACTTCAAATTCAAATAGCAAAACTGCGAAGAAAAAATACAATTAAAAATGAAAAATTATTTAAAAATTTCTGCTTATATGGTAAAATTGCCCACTCTAGAGTTCCGATCTATATATTTCTTGTATAGTTGATTTCTAAATTTGCAAAGGGAAGTGAGACCCCTTTTAGTACTGTCTTGGTTGTTCCATAATCTATTGCCACTTCCAAGAAATGAACGTTTGCCGGTCAGGGTGCTAAAAAAAGGTATGGATAAGTCCAAATTAGTTGACGCCCGGGTTGTGTAATTATGTATATTTTTAACATAACGAATATAATGATTAAAGTAATCAGGTCATTTCCCATGGATGATGTTATCCATAATACACAATTTCCTTTATTATGTCACTAATGGGTATCCAACCTAATCTCTTAAAATGGCCAACTGTTCTTTCAGTGCGCATTTAAAATTACTCTGGCACAACGTTTTTTAATTCTAAGGAGCCTTTGTAAATTATCAATCTTAGTGTTTCCCCACACTAAACAACAGTATTTGGAGGTTGGTTAACTGAAAGCGTTGTATAGCAAAATCCTAAGTGATAGATTCAGGTACTTTCTGGCTCTTTTAAGACGATTTACCCTAGAATTTAATTTAGTGATCATGTAATCTATCATTGGCTATTTCAGTTAAGATGTTTGTCTATCTTTACACCACGCAGCATTTCGTTGACGGCCTCTTCGATTTCAGTGCCTCGCAACAAAAGGTTAAGCGATGGGTTTGTGCAGTAGGAAAGTTTTTGCTTGGTTCCAGCAAATAGCTGTTTTGTTTTCTAAGCGTTTGGGACCATCTTGTTTTGCGAGAACCAGTGATTCGCTTTGTTGAGACTTCTCTGAAGTCCGTGTTGGATATGCAAGGGATTAGAATTAGCTATCCATAATGAAGTGTCATCGGCGTAAATATCCACATTGCAATCAGATATTGCAAGTGGAAGATCATTGATATACAACAAGTGAAGGATGGGCCCCAAAATAGAACCTTGTGGAACGCCTCGAGTAATTAGTAGTGCGTCAGAGAGTGATCCATTGATACGTACAACAGCGCTGTGTTCGATCGTGTAGGTACTGATTTTTGATAAAAGTAAGCTGTGATCTGCCAGATCAAAAGCTACAACCGTAGATAATTTGAAAGTTTACCAATTCAACTGAAAAGGAAATTAATATTCTGATGCGCTTATGTTGATCAACTCCTTTTTTCCACTCATCTGGAGTTAAAATTTGCAATTAGTGATAATCAGTCATTTGCTAACGCCACTTTTCGCTTTTCGTTTTATTTAAAGCACTTAGCTTTGATTAAACATAATTGTAATGATCATCAATATCATCCAGCCGTCGTTTTTGTTGTTGTTTTATATTTGTCATTATTCTTTTTCTGGTATAATTGATGTCCGTTATAAAGGCATTCGGTAATTTTGCATTGCACATGCGTCAGGTGCATAATTTCATACGTAACTAGTGCGGGCACATTATAATTAAAAAATGTCGGCTTTGAATCTTTTCATATTAGGAACGATTTTCTCTGCCTTCTCCAATCGTATCTATTGAAATTCGAGGAAAACAAAATGGAGTGTTACTCGAGGGACTGGTTGCTAACCGCAGTTTATTCTGACTCACCAAAGACATTAGAGCACCCAATATATAAAAAAATCGATTGATGATCGAGAAATCAAGTGTAAGCGCCAAAGATATTGCGACCATCCTTCAGAAATATAGCCCATAGCGACGAATTCACACCAAGTCGTTGCTGGACAAGGCCAAGGCGATTGTCAATGTAGGAAAATGAACAATTTTTGGAATGCTTATTCAGCAAATACTCAAAATATAATCGTCCTGAAATTAAAGGAACTATATCAGCATCTAGAAAGACCTGCTGCTCTATAAAAAGCTCAGGGACTCCCCTTTTTCATTTTGAAACTTAACGTTGTCATAGAAAAAGCCCAATATGTTGGGTTTGAAAAAAATATCGGTGCAGATTTTCAAAGCACTAACTAACCTTAAGAAATTGACTCAAAGCGAATTTGAATGGATGAAGTAATTAAAAAGCCTACTTTGATATGTCGATGTATTTACAGGCGACTGGAGAATAACAAAATCACCTTTTTACCTGAGGGATTGTTTGACAACTTGGTCAACCTGGAATGGCTGTAAGTGGACACGATACTGTCTAGGTTACTCTGCTGGTTTGTTAGTGCCCGCTTTGTTTTGTGCTAGAAATTGAAAAAGGAGGAAAACAAAATGTAGTGTTCTTTAGGGACTGGATGCTATTTGCAGTGTGTTATGACTCAACAAAAACATAAGAAGATGCAATATAGAAATCGAACGGTGATCGAGAAATTAAGTGTAAGCGCCAAAGATATTGCGACCATCCTCCAGAAAGATAGCCTATAGCAGTATTTATAAGGAACTGCTGCTCTATAACGAGCTCGGGACTCCCCTTTTTTAACTCAAAACTTAAAGTTGTCATAAAATACAAAATACCAATAGGTAGGGTTTGAAAAAAACATCGATAAAGGTACTTTTTTAGAGGATTAACCCACATTAAAAAATTAACTCAAAGCAAATTTGAATAAATTAACTAGTTAATTAAAAAGCCTACTTTGATATTTAAGTGGATGTTTTGACAGGAAACTGCAGAATAACTAACCTTAAAAAATTGACTCAAAGCAAATTTGAATAGATTAAGTAATTAAAAAGCCTACTTTGATAAGTCCATGTTTTCACAGGCGAGTGCAGAATAACAGTATCACCTTTTTACCTGAGGGATTGTTTGACAACTTGGTCAACCTGAAACGGCTGTGAGTGAACACGAGTTTGTGTAGTTTACTCTACTGGTTTGTTAGTGCCAGCTTTGTTTTGTGCTGAATTGATATTCTGAAGGGCTTATGTTGTTCAGCTCGGTTTCTCTAGTCATGGGGAGTCAAACTTCATATTTTCGTAGCACTAGTTGTATTTACGTTWATTACGTTCGTAACAATAATTTTTGCTCGCGACTCACGTCAGCTATATCGCTTTATGCGTTAGTGCGATTCCACGCTAAATACCCTCTCATCCGGTTGACGTATTGACCAATCAGAGCGCGTGTTTACTTTAAGCTATGCGATTCTAGTGATAATCAGTCCATTTAGTACCGCCAATTTTCGCTTTTTTTTTATTTAAAGCGCTTAGCTTTGATTAAACATAAAAGTAGTGAACATCATTACTATCCAGCCATTGTTTTTGTTTTTATTTTGTTTTAATATCATTATTCTTTTTCTGGTGTAATTGATGTCCTTTCCAAGGGCATGCTGTAATTTTGCATTGGACATGCGTAAGATGCATAATGGCGGCTTTTATTCTTTTCATATAAGAAACGATAGTCTCTGCCTTCTCTGATCGTATCAATTAAAATTCGAGGAAAACAAAGTGGAGTGTTTCTTTAGGGACTGGTTGCTATATGCAGTGTGTTACGACACAACAAAGTCATAAGAAGACGCATATATAAAGACATCGAATGGTGATAGAGAAATTTAGTGTAAGCCGCAACCATATCGGGACCATCCTCATAAAAAAAAAATAGCCTATAGCAGTGAATTCACACCCAGTCGTTGCTGGACACGGCCAAGCCGATTGTCGATGTAGGAAAATGAACAATTTTTGGAAATTCTAATTTAGCAATACTCAAAGTATTAATTAATAACCTTAAAAAATTATCTAGCAATTTTGACTCATACGATTATTCAGAACAACTGACAGAAAACATTGATTAATATGTTGATGTTTCCACAGACTTCTATCGTCAAATCAAATAAAAAATCTACCTGAGGGATTGTTTACCAAATTGACCAAGTTGAGAACCCTGTGGGTTGAAAAATAAGATAATCTACCTTATCTAATTAACTTGCGAGTTTTTCTCAGTAATAACTGGTAGGCTTTTTTTTCGAGGGGGA